GAAGGGTGCCGGTGAAAAGAAGGGCTGGTTTTGATGGCGCTGGGTAGTTTGCTGCCCTTGGGGTGGAGGAAGGGACTGGAGCTGTTTGTGGAGCCGGGGCAGGCAGGGCAGCTGGGGGCTCCTCCGCACCTCCCACCCACTCCTCACCCCGTCTCTGCCCAGGCATGCTTTCGGTTCCCCCTTTCAGCTTAATTGGCAATTACTTTATGACAGAGCTGTAAGTATTTAAGCCAATATCTGTACCAACGGAGTAAGCTGATACAGCCACCGCCTCCGGCCCCTGCACACACACACGCTCGCTGCATCCAGCGTCATCAAGCTGCCACCACCTTAATCCTCTCGGTGCCCCAGTTCTAACTGTGCTGAGAAATCGGTCACCAGTTCAGCCCCAGCAGCAGCCGCCTCACGGGCATGCAGGCTGGCGAGGAAACCCTCCGTTCCCCCCCAGTAAGTGCCTCCCACCTCTTCTCTTTGCTTGCTAGCGTATGAGCGACCACAGCGTGTTACCACCGCAACCACCACAACAACACCCACCACCACCACCACAACCTCCACCACCACCACTACCACCACCACAACCACCACCACCACCAGCACCAGCAGCACCCCCCTCCCTGCCACCACCACCCAGCCAGGTGGGTGCCATGCTCCCTGCCTCGCTCGGACGGCTGGGACTCCTCTGCCGGGCTCCTCTTTTCGGCTGCTTCCCATCCCAGCTCCTCCGCTGGCAGTGGGGAACACATGGGGCTACCATGTCGGTGGCCCTGGTTATCTGCTCTGTAGGATGATAAAGGACATGGATAAAAATCACCCTGACTCAGTTCACATCCCGCAGCCTCTGGGCGGTCCTGGTTTGCTTTTCTCTCTATTCAGTCCAAGGACACTTTGACGTGTAACACAGCCTGGGAGCGAGCATTGTGGTCCCTATAAGCAGAGAGCCAGCCGCAACAGGTCCACCTCAAAGCCAAGAGACAGCCACGTTGTGGGTTGACATCCCCCCTCACCGGCTGATCTCACTCTGTTGTCATCGGGGCAGCAAGAAGTGAAGCCAGGACTGGATGCGGAGGAAACAAAGCTTTTCCCTTTTTTCTCTCAATTTTGTTTTTTTAAGAAGAAAACGTTTTCAGAATCCATCCCTCCTAGAGCTACTTTGCAGTGTTGCCCTGCACAGGGCTGGCACAGCTGCAAGAGATGCTCTCTTACAGCTCCCAGCACAAGGCAGGGCAGGAAAGCAACAAAGACTTTACTGTCCCATCGTGCAATTAAACCACGTACCCACTCTTGCCTGGCTGGAAGGAGAAGAGGCTTGTACCCCGTCCTGCTCTATCCCCAGCCTCTGATACCAGAGCAGGCAGGAGAGTTGCCCCCACCGTACCTGCTGGGTGCTGCTCCCAGAGCACGACGGGGAAGGCTGGAAGGGCACGGCGGGGAGGCTGGGCTCCGGCTCTCCCCCCCCAGCCGCTCGCTCGGACGGGGACGTTTCCCCGTGAGTCGGAAGACTCAGAGCAGCCCGGAGGCTTCGCTAAGCTGTGCCAGGGACGGGACGTCAGGTCAAGGGAGAGGCTGGCTCTGTCCTTGCTGGCTCTCCCAATCCTGCACCAAGTCCCTGCGGCCAGGCTCCGGGATGTAACGCATGCTGCCTGCGTCTCCGAGGGCAGTTTCCTAGGACAGAGCCGCACTCTAACATTCCCCAGGCAGCCGCTGTATAAGCAGCCAGGGAGCGTGCGGGGCTGGAGCTCACACACACGCCAGAAACACCCTTTCCTAATTTCTAAAATCACCCCGTGGAAGAAAACTTTTGTCCTTTTTCTGGGGTTTCCTCCTTCCCTCCCCCCGTGAACAAGGAGACAGTGTTTTCACTTGTCTTTTGGAAATGAGCAGATAAGACTTAACAGCAGGACATTTTTTTTTAAGCTTCTCATGGGGGAATTAGACACGCATTCCTCCTCTTGCCATGCTTTCTGGGCCTGATATTTCCCAGGAGGACGTTTTACACCCACAGTATGTTAGTAACAGTCTGTCTGGGGGAGCTGCCAGAAGCCAGTCAAAGGGATGAGGAAACTTGATTGCATGTTTATGCAAATATAGATATATTCGTGGAAGTACCCTGCTTGAGTAGTTAATCAGGAAGCCGAGGCTTTAGCTCCAGCTTGCATGGAGTTGGAGTGACCCTGGGCAAAAGAGCGCAAGTCTCTGGTCTGTTGAGAAGTGCTCCCCACCCAGGTCCATGCTTTACATGTGGAGGAGGGGGTTCAGCCACCACCCCTGCCCAGGGCTCACCCCACCGCCATGGCCCCAGCAGTGACAGGGGACCACGTCTACATCTGCACCACGCGCTTGGGGTCGTTCGATTTTTATCCATGCTCACCTGTAGCAACATTTTTAGGTCTATGTTTTGCAAGTGCTGTGTATGTGTGGATGGTGTGTTTAGTGTCTGTCTTGTGGATGATTTGCTCTGCCTTGCTTGTCTCATACACCTGGGGCAGGCAGGCAGGCAGGCATCCGTGTGGGGTTGGGGGGTCGTGGGGGTAATCTCTCCTGCCAAACTGACCTGGGAGACATCATGCACCTCAGGGTTTATTCCCTCTCCAAAATCTGCTTCCTGGGCAGAGAAAATACTTTCATTAACTGATGGCAAGGGACAAAATAAATAAATATACTACAGTCCAGCCATCACTCCTCTGGCTTGATAGGGGCAGGGCTGAGCTCTGAGCTCCTCGTCCCCATCTAGACCCCTCACCCATGTTTCTGCAGAGCCAGGTCTCACCCCAAAATGGCATGCCTGGGGATAGAGACAGTCCCTGGAGGGGCTGCTCCAAAGAAGAAGGTAGCCAGGGCCACCCAGCAGCTCAGGGACCTGCTCTCTTACCTGGGCAGCATGGTGGGTTTGATGCCAAAGGTCCACTGTCTCCCTTAGACCAGCAATAGGGAATCAAGGCACAGCCTAATTCTGATCTGCTCTTGAATAGAGACGTTCGTCCCCCTCTGGTCCTGCAAAACATAAAGTATATCTTTAAATACCATGACATCCCCAAGGGGCTGTGAATCCAACTCACTTGGACCTCAGGGGAAACCCCTCGTTAAAGAGATGACCCTTCGAGCTCCTGGTAAGACACCCATTTGCAGCAGATGCAATAACTTGGAGCCCCAAAGTGAGATACTCTGCCATTACCTCCCTTCTGAATTTCAGAAGCATTAAACGAATCCCTCCTTGCTTTAAAGCCAGGTCAGCCCACCAGCCATTTAAAAAAAAGAAAAAAAGCCCTGTTAGGGCCCTGTTGTTTCACCCTCTAATTTGCACCCTGTCTTTTACCCTCTGAATTTCTGCTTCCTACCGTAAGCAAGCATCATCAGACCAGCCTCTGAGCTCGCTGCTTCTGTGCCCATGAGAGATACTCAGAAAAAAACAGGTATTTAAAGCCAGACCGATGTGTTTTTCCCCTCTCCTTCATGCCTCCGCACACTAGTGGGTAGCAGCAAGGCACAAGCTACGTAGCACGTAGGCTAGAGGAGTAGATTAGATTGGAGTTGTCTCTGGGTTGCATGGATCTGCTAGACATCTGCTTCCTTTGGCTGCTCGTGGTGTTTTCGTGGTCAAGGTGGAGCTGTGGGCATGTTCGTAGGATGCTTTTGTGCCCGGTCGCCTGTCGTGTGGGCAGAGGGGGAGAAGAACGAGTTTACGGGCATGATCTGTGGTCCGAAGGCAGTCGAGGCTGCCAAAGTGGGTAGAAGGAAGGGAAATCATAGAGTTCCCCTAAGGAGGATGAATTAAGTGCTATTCACATTTGCCTTCTGCAGTTCTGTTATTTTGAAACCTTCCTTCAAGCCTGTCAGATTCTTCCTTGCCATTTGTTACATTTTTCCCACATTGAAAATAAGCAAAAAAGCTTTTTTTTTCTTTTTTTTTTTTTCTTCCATTTCCACCTCCCCCAGGTTTGTAGCAGTTTCAGCAGCACCAGTTCACCTCTGGGAAAAAAAATAACCCACCTGAGCCCTGCTTGATGGTTAAGAGCTCCAGCAGAAAGAGAGCACCAAAAGCCCAACTTCATGTAGGTCCTACAGAAATGGGACCCCATGTTTATGTTTTGAGAAGGACTTATGTTTTGAGAAGGTCCTTCCCCACCACTCCAGCACTGTTTCCCCCAATGGGTTTTGCTATGAAGTGCGACTTCTTCATTCAATTTATTCTGCTTCCCCAGCAACCCACCAAGACCAGTGGGCACTGATACAAGCCCCTAAAATAAGTGCTGCCCAGTGTTTCCCAGTTGTAAGAACTGGGTCTGGGGGTGAAACACGTCTCTCCCCCTCCTGAAAACGTAAATCGTCCATTAATGTCCCAGAGCTACAAGGGAAAGGCTCTCAGGATAATGAGCATTAATAATTTTCCTGGCTCTGTAAATGCAATTGAGTGGAGGTGTATGTGAATGACTAAAAAGCAAAATGCCTTCAGGGCTGATTTTTATTGTGACTCTAATTAAACCCTTGCCAATTTGCACAGGGCTTTTTTCATATTCTCTTTAACACTGTATTAATATCAATTGGTTTCCACTTTCCAGCTGAAAAGGACAATGTCTATCACCTTCTCTTAGAGCTTGTCATTAAAAAAAAAAAAAAATTTTTTTTTTTTTTTTTTTAT